CCCCAAAACCCCAAAACCCCAAAACCCCTCATTTCAAAAATTGAATATAAATTAAGAAATTAATAGTAGGAAGATTTTAATCAAATAAAGATAATAATTGCAAGCTTGGCATTCAAATGTAGTTTCTAGTCTCAAGCATTTTTTCTATATGCTTATTATTAGATTTTTTACCACTTTCTATAAGAGCTTCCATATCTTTTTCTCCTAGTTCAATTTGGAATATAGTATCCTCAAGACTTGAGAAAATAGGTATATATTTGCTCGGTAACTTTTGACTGGGTTCAAGGATGTACCTAACGTTGATGTCTGGAAAGCCCCTAAGAACTCTTTCAATATCCTCAAGGTAGTAATAGGCATCTTTGATCTCTTTTTTCCTCATATTTAGTTCACTCACACTTTTGTACTTTGCCTCCTCATATGTCCATTGCTAGATCTTTACTGGTTAATCAAAACAGAGAAGAATATCAACTATAATCTTTTGGTCTGGTGCTCCTTGTTCTCTGCATTTCACAATTGCTGGCCCTAAATTTAAGTTTTCAAATACTCCTCCATCTGCAAGTACCATATTCTGAAGATGTTATGGTGAGAAAAAGCCTGGGATTGAAGCAGAGGCAAGTACTGATTAAATTTATTAGGCACTAGTAGTTTTTTCATCAAAATTAACTACTCTACCTGTATTCAAATCAACAGATTCGTAAGTGAACTTTCTGATAAAAGGTCTGCCATGAAGGGTGTCATTTGCGAAATTCTTTAATGGAGTTGAATCAAATATAGCATCATTGAAAAATCCTCCAAGGATCCCGTATTTAGGCCAATTCCTATACAAGTCTTAAACCTAGTGAGTTCTCCAGATATTTTCAAGTTCCCCGAGTGCTTCTCTTTCTTTACCTTTGGGGTGAATAGCTAACATAACAGAGTTTACAGCTCCAATTGAAACTCCAGAAACCACATCATACTGATATTCAATTGGTTTAAACTTATTAATTATGGCTTTTAAGGCACCTGATTCATAAGCACCTTTTGTTCCACCTCCTCTCATAACTAGTACTCTGCATTTATCATCATTTCCTAACCCTATTGTATTAGAAATTAGTAGGGAGAGAATAAATGAGATAGTTTGTGAAATATTTGTTTTTTTTGTCATAATTATTATTAATTGCATCATAATATATTTTATTTAGCATATTCTCTTAATTATGATAATTGGGGTTTTGGGGTTTTGGGGTTTTGGGG